GCAAAGGTATTGCCACATGAAATTATTACCAAAATAATCATTTTTATGCTTTGTGTCATAATATGTATTTGCATATTATTGTCTTCCCTAGTACCTATTCATATATTTCGCGCCAACACCGCAAGTATTTTATTACGCTCACATATTGGAGATATATACATACATATCGTCGTTTAAAGTTCAAAACCGCGTATCGTCCTTATCCATTCGTCCTGAAATATTCTAGCCAGAAATGCGATTAATAATAATAATAATATATTGGCGCTTACACATATATTATTAGTGCTTGGCCGAGCTTCTCCTCCGATTTGTGGCGTGCGCCTTGATGTTGTCATACAAAGCGGAGGGACCTACAGTTTTACCCCGACTCCGAACGGCGATTGTATTTTTATGAGAAGCTGTTTTTTATGGCAGAAATACACTCGGAGCAGCGTTGCCGAAAGCTTTCGCTGAAAAATCGTCATTTTACCCTGAAAAAATGGTCATTTCATTATATTTTTTTAACAAAATAAAAAATAGAAACAAAATTACATAAATTACAAACAATAAATATGACCACACATTTCAAAGCCAAAGGGAACCCACATTGCATATGGGTTAATAAAAGAGGATTTGTAATTGTTAACGATAATTTTAAACTACACTTTAAAACACAACTGCTTTTAAATTGTTCAACTCCATTATTTTTCTGTCTCTTTCGAATCAGTGTCAACAGTGCAAATTAACGATTTGGTAACAATTATAGAACAAATTTAATAGAACTAAAAGAACGGTTGTATAACAAAACTAGATAAATGCATGGTTGTATTTTGGATTACGTGTTCCTTTAAAAAAAAATTTACATACATATGTAATTAGGTGGAAAAACTAAAATAAAAAATTGTCATTACGGGGGGAAAAATCGTCAAAACGTCATTGAAAACGTCAAAATTACGACGAAATCGTCAATTCGGCAACGCTGACTCGGAGGTTTACCATTGCCTGCCGTGGGACGACCGCTGTTAAGAAAAACCCTTTTTTCTATATTTTTTGCGATGTTGCTTTGACCAGGGTTTGAACTCAGGTGACGCGGAGTGAAAGCGCGCATTGCTTACCACTACACCACTCCATTTCGAAATGTGAGTGCTTTTACTCTCAAGAAAATAATTTATGCAACCTCACATGCGCCGTTTTGCATTTTGTTGATACACGGTTTTGTACTTTAAACGACGTATGTATGTACACATGTAACCATTTTTGCATATTGAACGCTAAAACCGAAACAGTTTCTTAGCCAGTGTTGCCACACATGGGCTCTTCCTACCAAAAGTGGTAGGTTTTTTTTTCCTTTTGGTAGGTTGGTAGGCTAGATTGGATTTTGGTAGGTTCCGCGAAAATAATAGCTATTCGCGAACAATAGAAAATATGTATCGCAAAACTAAGGATGTGCCGGATAGAGACTTTTCCGGATAACCGGATTCCGGATATCCTGTAAAAAATAACAGCCGGATTCGGATATCCGGCAGACTGCCGCACTTAATACATTTCACAATATTGTTATGTTAGGTTCTTTTTTTAGCTAGATCATCTGCCCTCTCGAGCTGAACTATCCAATACGTAATTAAGAATACACAATTTCTCCTCCGAAGTCCAAGTTGGGATATAATCCTGTATTAAAAAGATAACTTCTCTGTCTGCAACCCTTCGATCTTCGACTGTGGTCGAAAGCGCTGATCGAACGAATTTTCACTTGGTATAATAGGCCTTTCGCACGAGGCGATTTTTCAGGCAACAAAAGTTGAATGCGGAGTTGAATGAGAAGTTGAAAGTGAAAAAGTTGCCATCCCTATTCAGACGAGGCGATTTTCGATTCAACTCGAATTGTTGTTTACATTATTTAAAATGAGTTTAAATCGCCAAATTTTATCAATTGGCGTAAATTTGGTAAGCCAAGCGTTGGTATAAGTGCTTTTAGCG